TAATATCAATTAATGATATGAACAAATAAAAATGCAAAATTCGATAGTCTTTTCTTATCTCATAAAACTTATATCATAAAAAAACTTCTTTAATCCAACTTTTTAATGTAAAATTTGCTCTAAAAATATCACTTGACACCAATAAACACATAAGTAGAATCTTCCTATCATGTTATGGTTATTTATGTTTTATTATTATCTATTAATTTAAACGCATCAGATTTTAATTGAATTTTTTAAGCATGCAGCCGCTAGAAAAAAAAAGCAAATTGAATCGATGTTTATACGTAGAATGATGTTTGATTTGGAAATAATATACTAATACTTTTACAATTATAGTAGGTACTTTAGTTCCTCTCTGTTTGAGAATTCCACGACCACCACCACCACCAATTTTCAAGGTTGATCGTCCCTTCCTCGTGAAAATCATTAGAATGAAAAATTTCGCCAATGACAACCCTTCAAATACAAAATTAGAACTGTTTACAGCGCACGTGGTTAATCTGTTAGGACCAATTATTAAATAGTTTCGTTGTTGCTAATTCTTACTATTATTAATAACTTGTTTTGTGAAAAGAAATATTTCCTTTGAAAATATCTAATTGAATAGGAATTATATAAGAAATCATTGCTAACAAGAAGATTTCTGTATATTTTTAAGCATATTTATCAATATCAATGATTGATTGGAGCAATTAAAAATTCGAAAGTCGATTGCCCTTACCGATTTGATCATCATTCCAATCGATTTATTTATCAAACATTTTTCGCTATGTATTAGTACCATGAACAAACTTAACTTAGCAAAAGAAATAGATCTCCCGTTTTATTCACTATTTCATTTGAACCATTTTTTATCCAGGTTTTTTTTATTATGGTTGAAAAAAACAAGCTCTGTTTAATAATATGAATAAAATATTCTGAGCCTAAAAAAAAAAATAAAAACTAAAAACCAAAAAAATAAATGAAGAAAAGCGCAATCCTAAATCTGAGATGCTCCAATCATAATACAGTATTTGTTACTAATTACTCGTATTCGTGTACAACTGCTACGTTTACTTTACTAACTTATATCATAAAAAAAAACTTGCTTTAATCGAACTTCTTAACGTATAATTTATACGAAAAATATCACTTGGCTCTAATAAACACATAGGCAAACGTTTCCTATCATACTATGTTAAATAATGTTCTATCGTAATCTATTAATTTAAACGCATTAGATTGTAAGTTAATTCTGTAACCATACTGTCGCTAGAAAAGGAGCTAATTGAATCGGGAATGTTTATACATGAAATGTTGTTAGAAATTGAACTAAACAGTAATTACTGAACAATTTTAGCAGCTATTATAGTTGGATATGCGGCTTTGTTGAACGGACCACCACCACCACCAATTTTCAAGGTTGATCGTCCCTTCCACGTGAAAATCATTAGAACTGAGAATTTCTCCAATAACGACTCCTCAAATAAAAAATTAGAAATGTTTACCGCGCACGTGGTTGATCCCTCAGATGATGTCTAAAAATAAAAACTG